GTAGCGCTGCTATCCTGTGTGCCTTAGCGCCGCTAAGGTAAGGTGGGCAGCTTGCTGGACTTTGCTTTTCGGGATCGTTTGGGTTCGTTTGAACTCGGAATTGAGTTCCGTTTTTTCTTACGCCTAGCTAACGAACCCCTCTATCTAACTATGTAATCCCAGCACATATTTTCCTGAAAACTTGTCCTCCCAAAGCTTCCGACCTGACACCAAAAATGAAAGAAAAACGAAGGAAACCGGAAAAAGACACGAAAAACACATAAATACTCACAAAGACGCGAAACACGAAATAAACGACAAAACGACTCTAAAACCACATAAATGACTCAAAATGGGGGAAAAAGAACGAGAAAATAGACACGAAAAACGTAACAAAAATGGGACAAACAACTCCCCCACACTTAAACCTTTGTTTGTCCCGAACAAAAACAAAAGAAAAGAAAACAAGACACGAGCATGGATATCGGCTTCAAATAAGAAACGTTTCAAATTCATTGACTTAGCCGAGGGAGACTTCAAAAGACCAATAAAACAATCTCAATTACACTTTAAATGGTACGCATTGACAAGACAAACTCTCAAACACGGAAATGTCATGTATAATGCCTCACAGTTTCTTACATAAATATGAAATGGGAACGCTCAAATTAGTCGGCAATCAAGTTTCAACATAGGCTTGCTTATCGTCGAGTTCATACTCTAAAACAACCAAAGCACATTAATTTGCGAATTAAGAGGAGTTCACGGGTATAAAGAAGGCACTTGGTTGAGGGAAGGTCAAATATAAAGATAAAATGGCTAGAATGAACAATTATACTCTCGAGCACATAACTACTCGAATATCTCGCCACCCATCCATAATCAACACAAAGCTAATCACTCCCAACCAAAGCTCCATACACATTCACACATGCTCAACAAAGATTGCAAATAAAGTGCCTGACGATATATATATATTTTTTGTTTTTTTTTTTATTATTATTTAGGGAGTTTGATTTTTCCTAACAAGATCGAACATAAGGACGGCATTCCCCAGGTTTAAACAATGGAGGTCATCCAAGTGTCCTGGAGTGGTTTTCCAATACTCATTACCTATAAAAATAAATTGACAAGTCAGGGGAGTAGAATCCTCTCTATTCGTCTTGCAAGTCCCCGATTTTTTTTTTTTTACGACAAGCACTATAAATGCAATTCAATCGAGTTCAACCTCATTCAAACACATAGAAGCTCCGTCATCATCATCATACAATGTTCTGTCAAATCTCAAATATTTCATGTAAAACGGATGACAAGAAACATGGCTTAAGGTTCAACGGGCTACTAGCGAGAATATAACTTTAAGGGACAATGAAAAGGGCTAGAACGAGCAATGCCAACGAAAAGCCTCAATCATATTCACAAACCACAACTTCAGTCGATTATTTTAAAACAGACTCAAGCAAGTTCTGATCAACAAAATTCTGACCATATCTCACAGAAACAGAATAAGGCTCAAACCTCACAAGGCAAATAATATCCAATCAAAACGACCAATCAAGTTCATCAAAATATGCCATCATGATCAACATCACATCTCCTCAACTTCATCAACAAATATCAACAAAACTTAATATTCACCAATATCCATACTCACAAGACACAAAAAAAAGACTAAAACTAGATTGATTCACCACATAAGCATGTCAAATCTAAGTAAACTCCCCCACACTTAAAATGAGGCAATGTCCTCATTGCTTCAACACAAAACCGGGAGCCAAATACAAGAACTAGCAATTTCATGCAATAAACCAATACCAGCAGCTAACACAAGCACACAAACTAAGAAGGAAAAGCAGAAGGAAGAAACACACTCAAAAAATGTAAAAGAGAAAAGGTGTGCAAACCGGGGGTGACTCAAGGAGTCTAAACGTCCAGTGCATGCCTTTCGCCCAAGCTCCAAGCCTCGATAGGTCCTGACAAGCAAAAACCACACAACTCCCAAAACTCTGATTATTCAAGAATAAAAACTAAAAATGCATAAACGAAATTAGCTAAGAAAGCGGTAAATATCACTTGGGTTGCCTCCCAAGAAGCGCTTGTTTTACGTCATTAGCTTGACGAAACCTGAGGTGACTCATCCAGGGTCTAGGAAAAAGTGACGATCCTGCCACGCCTTTGTATTCTCAAGAAGTGGCAGTGCTGACTCTAAGGCCAGAAGGCGGGCACTGTGGGCACGAGTGGCTATGTTCTTGATGTAGTGAGTCTGTTCACGAGCAATCCCCAATGTTCGGAGCAGAGCCTTCCCTAACCGAGCTCCCTCGTCAACCTCGGCAATCAAAGGCGCATCAATGGAGCAAATCGAAGAAAATACAATCACCTCCGGAAAGCAGTGCAGTGGCCTCGGAGGCGGATGCTCCAACTCGAAGGTGGGAGGAGGGTCTTGTGAATCGACCTCCTCCTCTAATGCATCGTACTCGGCTCGTGGGAGAATGTCATCCTCTTCGGCCTCACACATTTGTTGCAGAATTCGAGCCTGAGGGTCAAGCATGAGGTGTGGGTTATCGACTTGTGCCTCAATCGAATCGAGACGTACAGTGAGGCTCTGTATTTGTGTGCTCAGCCGAGCACATCCGAGCTCAATCTCCTTTTCTTAGTTTGCTCGGGCCATCATCCAATCGAGGATGAGATCGAGCTTGGCATTGTACTCTGAGGTGTCGTCCTGGAGCTCATTTAGATGCTCGGGCATGGGATGTGGGTCCACAACCTCGAGCTTGTGGGCCAGGGACTCGATCGAGTTGATGCGCCTTGCTAGACTTTCCACTTGCTCGCTCAATCGGGCACATCTAAGCTCAATCTCCTCCTCTTGTTTCGCTCGGGCCATCAATCGATCTAAGATGAGATCGAGTTTGGCATTGTATGCGGCCTCCTCTTCTCGAGTTGATTTGAAGTCTATGAAGTCCATAATCTGGCTGAGCTTATCATTAAATGCATAGGACTCAGAAGGTTGCTCAATCGGAAGATTGTTCCAGCACTGCTCGGAAGAATACGGGTAAGGTTGGGTGTGGTACCCGGGAAAATAGACCGGCTCGTCGTTCCAAGATGGGTAATGCAGGGAGGAGTACCCGTGATTGAAATTCATTGTACCTGCACACCAGAACCAAACAACCACGCGTAGCCAAGAAAAAAGAAGAGAAAAGAAGACAAAAACTAAAACAAGAACAAAAGAGAAAAACACATATGCACAAAAGAAACTAAAACACTAAAAATACTAAAATAAAGAGAAACACAGAAAATAAGATCAAACACCAAAACTAAATATCCTACTTGCCTTCCCCGGCAATGGCGCCAAATTTGTTGTGTACAAATTGTTATTTTACCGAGTACCGAATCGAAGGATTCGTTCCCCAGGTCGATCTCACAAGGAAGGCGGTTCGGAATTTAGCTTCGGTATTGATTTCACACAAAAAGAAAATAAAATCCTAAACACTCTAATCAAATAAGGGGGGTGGAATAATTATTAACTAAGGAATAAAATAAACAATAATCTACCTAAAAATATAAACGAAACAACGATAAAGAAGTTAGGGAGTCGGGGATAATTAATTCAAGTTCTATTTGCACACCGGGACATTAATTATTCTATTCTAGATTGACGCTCTCACTTAAGCATCTAGCGGTTCGCTCCCAATAACTCTTCGTAACAATGGATTGAACATAGACGAAAAAACTTGAGCATACGACACATGCCAATTATCTCAATCCCAATAACTATTCGTAACAAGGGACGAGTCATCGACAAGCACGTATTTCAATCCAAAACCTATAGACTATTCAATTACAAAATCATCTACCTCATGCGAGCCTAAGTCTACGACTTCTCCCCTTTCGGTTCTAAAAACCGCTAATTAAATTAGAAGAGAGTTAATCAACTAATCATATAGAACTGACAAACCCTAACTCGACAAATTAACATTCAATTGTTTCCAATCGCAAGATCGAAGTGTCATCCTTCGATTATATCAATCAATCAAGCAAGATTACATCAACTCCTAATCAGATTAACTCACATAAGCATGAACAATTCAAGCCCGACAAATACACGTGAAACATGAACAATCATCCCCTATCCCTAGCAATAAGATTTAGCTAAGTAGCATGAATTCAACACAATAAATAAATTCACCCCAAATAATCATTCTCATGAATTAATCAAGATGAAAAATACTTACAATCAATCCAATCCGAAAGTTGAATCCAAAATACAAGCTTAATCCCTAAAATGAAAAAGAAAGAAAAAAGAAAGAAAAATGGAGAAGAAAGATGGAGAAGAGGAGAAGAGAAGACGAAGGAGACGAGAAGAAAGGAGTTTTGTGGTGTTTTTACGGGCCTAGGGTTTGTCCCCAGGAGGGGGAGAGTGAAAGAATCCAAAAGAAAACGAGTTTTTGGGGTTCTTATACCATTCTGGGACTTGCAGGGGACCTTAGCGCCGCTAAGGTGCCTTAGCCGTTCGAGCCAGTACTGTGTAGCGCCGCTATCCTGTGTGCCTTAGCGCCGCTAAGATGCCTTAGCGGCGCTAAGGTTCTGGGCAGCCTGCTGGACTTTGTTTTTCGGGCTCGTTTGAACTCGGAATTGAGTTCTGTTTTTTCCTACGCGTAGCTAACAAACCCCTCTATCTAACTATGTAATCCCAGCACATATTTTCTTGAAAACTTGTCCTCCCAAAGATTTCGACCTGCACACCAAAAATGAAAGAAAAACGAAGGAAACCGGAAAAAGACACGAAAAACACATAAATACTCACAAAGACGCGAAACACGAAATAAACGACACAACGAATCTAAAACCACATAAATGACTCAAAATGGGGGAAAAAGAACGAGAAAATAGACACGAAAAACGTAACAAAAATGAGACAAACAGGAGGAGAACCACGAAGAAGAGAAAAGGATCCGGTCAAGTCTCTGCTAGATAGAGTTCCTGTACCATGTGTAAGGGGATCCTGAGTAGCCATCGTCCGAGAGATGGCAGTCGAGGAGGGCATCCTGGAAATCCTCCAATTCAGATTGAATTGGTGGGGCTCCACCTTTCTTTTCATGAGGGTGAAGAATGATGTTAAAATCGCCTCCGACCATCCAAGGGAGAGAATGGTCGGAGACTTCGAGGAGGTCCGCCCAAAGATCTTGGCAGGGGAGATGGGTGTGTTCTCCATAGACGATGGAAAGCAGGAAGGGAGTGGCAGAAAGAGTCGAAGAGACTTTCACGTGGAGGAGTTGACGGGAGGAGTGAAGAATTTGAATTTGGCAATTATGGTCACAGAAGAGTCAAATGTGATTGCTGGTGTTTTGGACGACTTGATGAAATTGAACAATCTACAGAAGTATTGGGAGTCGAGGGCGATCTTCGGCTCGATGAGGGCGAGGAGATTAGGTTTGTGGTCCTTAGTGAGAGTTTTGGTCATCTTTTTCGCGAGGCTATTACCTTTGCCTCGTATGTTCCAAATGAGGGCACTAATCATTTTTTGTTTTTGTGGCGTGTACTTCGACGCACTTTATTTTTCTTCGCTGGGGAGGTGTAGTGGGAAGTTGACTGATTGAGAGAGGTAGATGGGACTATGGGAGGGCAATGATAGGTTCCTGGGTAGAGAGAGAAGGATGTGGTTCCGAGGCTTGGGGAAGGGGGCGTGAGTTCCCTCGTCAGAGGTTCCCTTGCCGACTTCTAAGCCTTCTAAGGTTAGAGCATGGAAAGAGTTGGAAAGGGTCGGAGAGAAATTGTCCTCAGAATTGGAGGAACATGTCTCCACTAAAACCTGATCGGGCTTAGGTGAGCTAGGCTCATTGCCTGGTCCCGAATCAGGGCGGGAGATGGATTTCCATTGGAGGGGGAGAGGTTGATCGAATGGGAGGTGAGAGGGGGATTAGCCGCCGAACTAGGGGGTCGAAGGGATGAAATGGGAGAGGTATGATTGAGGGAAGATGACGCCAGGGGGAGTTNGAGGGATTGATAGGTGGGGCGGTGAGAAGGGGATCAGCCGAACAAGATGGTTGGAGGGAAGAAATGGGAGGGTCAGGATTGAGAGAAGTTGAGGTCGAAGGGAGTTTATGTATGACGAGATGGGAGGTTTTGTTCTTACCTTTGTCGAGTTTGGCAGGCCTGAGGCTTTTATTTTTAATATAACAGATGGCCTCATCGTGACCTATGTGATAGCAGTGGTGGCAATACTTAGGCATTTTCTCATATTCTACTTGGAGAGCCACTTGTGTTTCTCCAAATTAAACTATGATTTTGGGTGGCGGTGGGGATTCAAGATTGATCCCAACGCAAATGCGCGCGAAGTTGAGTCTAAATTTGGAGAGAGTGGCGTCGTCGGCTTTAAGGAACTCTCTGAAAAGAGAACCGATGGTTTGAAGAGACAGATACTGAATAGGTGAATGGGAAGTGCAAGGATTTTTAACCAAACTGGGACGACCGTAGGCGCGATTTTAAAATCGAAATCCAGGGTCCATTTGAAAAGTCTCATTGGACAAGCTTGGATGGTTATTTCCCGTTTTATCCATAATTTTGGAGAACATTATATTATCAAAATGAAGAAGAACGTGGCACGCGTTAAGATAAAAAACTTGGCAATGAAGGCCGATATTAGCAAGATAGGAGCGAATAATGCCATTAGTGGGCCGGCCGAAGGAGAATTTGCCGACAAGGGAGAAACAGAAATCGTCAGCCACCGCGTTGCTCTCGGGGAGGGAAAAAATAGCTTTTGGGATGCCGTTGTCCGACTCGATGGTCCCGAACTTCGGAGCACTAGGAGATGGGTTTGGGCCGCCCGCAATGGCTTCACGATAGGAGATTTTGGCGGGGAGAGGTTTGCCTACGGGTGGTTCGGCCAGAGGTTGTACAAAACGAATTAACTGTGGGCTCTGATACCAGTTGTTGGGACTGGTGAAAATCTCGTTATGTACAAGTCACAAATTCATACATCAATAATAAACCTACGTGCAGCGGATCTAGAGGTTTAAATTGAAAACTTACGACTTAAAATTGCAGACTCTGAGACGTAGATTTCTATTATTGGAGATCGTCTGAACTCAGATTCTGTTGGGCTACCAGATTTCTCGTCGGGACCATCGACGGGGCAGCGGGTCGCACAGACGGGCTACAGCTGCGGGTCGCGATCGCCGAGAGTCCGCGAGAATCTTGCGGGTGCTGGCAGACACTGCTGCGGGCTGGGGCCGTGAGCGGAGGTTTCCGCTACTTATATCGTAGCCGATTTCGGATACATCTTTCTTACTAAGCACTTGGTCGCTCGTGGTGGCACACTAGGGTCACTGGACTCGGCGCGGCTAGGACGCGGGCGCGTGGTGAATCATCGGGGCTCGCATGAGTGTCGTCGGTTGATCTCGGGGTCACGATACCTCGAGGTCAAAACCCTGACCTTCCCCGCATAGTGACGGGACAGACCCGACCTGGCCCGTTTTGGGTAACAGGATAGGTCCAACCCACCCCCCATCCCAAAGACTACATGTTGGGCCAGTTCGAATCGGGTCCAGGACAATTAGGGTCCCATGTCAAATTGTCATCTCTACGTGCATGCAAGCTTAGCCATTTACATTTTGTTTGTTTGTAACCCAGAATTCCAAACATCTATGTATAGATGTTTCAGAATTATGTGTTCAAATTATTATCCATGGCATACAATTTTGCATTGCTTCTAAGAAGTGCCCTAGACATTCGAATCGGGTCCAGGACAATTACGGTAGATATTATAACTCGGAAAAATTTAAAAATCAATGGGGACTAAGAAGCCCCATACAACCCACATAAGCATGAAAGGTGAAGCACCAACAAGAGTGCCCTAGACAAAACCAACTAACCAAATTAGGAGATTAAGGATCCTGCTACCGGCAGAGACAACATCAACTGAAATCGGAGCTTGATTCTTAATCCCTACAACGCAAAACAAAAGGGCATTGACCACTAATTAGAGGTCCTAGCCACATATCAAACAAAAGAGAGTCCAGCTCTAAAGAAACAGACAACAAAACCCAACTACTAAGAGCAAATACAACAAAACTAAAAACATAAACAAAAAAGAAGCAACAAGTCGTCTAAGAACAAACCACTAACCAGTGGAACTAACTAACTACCAAAGTAGACTAAGACCAATCTCTCTCAGCAGCAGAGACCACAGAAAGTTCAGATCTCTAGAAATTTTGAAATACAATCTGATTCCTAGGTTTCCATATTCCCCATAGCAAGCAAGCTGTTAGTTGCAACCTATCCATGGCAGTTGCGGAGTTTTTGGTAGAGCACAACTTTGACCACCAAGAGTTGAATTTCTGATTGTTAAGTTCTACCCCATCACAGCACAAGGAGAGAGCTTCAAGATTAACTTTGATCTCAAGCATATGAAGAAACATGTTCTTGAGATTCAAATTCTTCTTCACATATTTTATAGGTTGGGTCAATATTGATTCCTTTGTGGCGCCAGATTGCACATAATAGGATTGAGGTTCCCTACACCTCTCCAGATAATATACCTGGTGTTCCCTTAGACTTTAAGTCTCGAGCTCCTCTTTCTCATTCTTTTTGCTTCTTCTTGCTCAGAGCTTTTTTCAGCAATATCCAGCTTACTCCATTTATCATTGACCAGTTTTGAATAGACAAAGGCCACTGAGAGGTTCCCTTTGTTATCATAGTCCCAAATCAGCTTGTCTTCTTTAAATGTGTCAAGGTCGTTGATGCTCAGAATATCACCACTTTCAGCTTTTATGAATAGCCTCAACACCAGTTCTCTGTTCCAAAATCTTCCAGATGGATCAATAAGTTCTTCTACCATTGTATAAGAGTTGTCCCTGGGTTGACTTTGTGAAGGTTTGCATCATGGTATATTTGGAATCCAAGGGAGATCCCACGTATTGACTTAACCTTCCCCGATTAGGTTCCTTAAACCATAAAGTAGGGAGCATCTCATAGAAAGCTAGGAGTTCCACATTCATGAGCTATTGAGCTTAATTGAGACTGTGAAGAAATTATCCTTTGGAAAGTACCTTGCTCTCAAAAGTCAGAAGATTTGGTTTGGATAGAATTCTCCAAATCTGGTTGGCAATAAAGGTTTGGTTCATCAGGTGGAGGTCCTTGAATCCCAACCCACCTTGTCTTTTCGCAAAGATAAAAGATTCCAAGATCTCCAATGGATGTTCTTTCTGTTGGTTCTCCACCAAAAGGAGGTAAATTGTTGATCAATTCTGTGATCCTTGGGCAACAAGAAGCAAGACATTATGTACAAAGAGAGGGCTCCCCGGATGAACTGAAGCAACACTTTTTTACCTGCAAAATATAAAAAGCTTTGCTTTTTTTTTTTTTCCGAAACGATAGAGGTAATATAAAAGAGCACAAAAGTGCAAAAGGAAACAAATTACAAGACCCCAACGGGGTAATATCTACGGCCCCAACAGGGTAATGAGACAGGGGCCAACAGCCCAAACCAAAAACACTCCTAAAAAACAACAAAAATAACAAACTGAGAGGACACGCACATGGCGGCCTAGAGAACTCAACCAAACGAAAGAAGAAAATGAAAATCAGAGCCACTGCACAATGCCTAGCCTGAATTCATCTCCCAAACAAACAAAAGAACGAACACACCAAACACAGACTCGATAAAACACACAAAAAACACAGAAAAGACAATAAAAAACACACAAGCCCTCCCTCTTCAGCGAAAACCTAACCACACTAGCAACCACCAAATCAACCTAGAGGGATCCACAGCAAGAGAAGAGCGACCCTTCCACTGCCAATCTGCCTTGTTGAATCGAAACTCCTACCACGAATCCCACCCGAAGTCAATTCTCCCAAAGCCAAAAACACCAAGAAAGCTTCCCACACCGCCAAACCGAGCCCCCTAACACCACTAGTGGACTCCGGAAGAACAGTGAGCACCCCCGAACCCAATGATTAAGGGAAATAGAAGTTGACTCGATGCTCCAGCCCCAGCCCCAGCCCCACCATCCTGAAGTCACAAGACGCCATAACCACCGAAGAACCCAACCCCGAACGCACACACCAACCTCTGCCTCCCCACATTGAGCCGCAGCCACAGAGCTTTGTCAACATTCGGAGAAACCAGAGGAAGCACCGCGTACCACCAATTGCAGGCAAAAGAAAACCGAGACAACAACAGCAAGAAGAGGAGACAAAATCTTAATCGAGACCGGCGAAACCAATTCCGACCAGTCCTCAACTTAAAAGACCGCCGCCTACAACCACCATTCCGTCGGCGAAAAGGGACATTGCAGACTGGCAGACCCCACCTCGGCGACCAGCAAGATGAACCAAAAAAAAATCCATCAGAGCCGTCGAAGGAGAGAACGGAGAGAGGCCACCGTAGAAGTCAACGACGCTCAGACCCAAGATGACGAACAGCCAGAGCCGTACCCAACCCTAATCCATCGCACCGCGGCCCTTGGACCCGCCACTGCACCGAGTAGGCCGGAGATCGCGAACCCAAATCCAGTTGCCGAAAAAAGCAAAAATAAATTTGGCGACCTCGTAAGCTACCAGCACCCGTGGCGAGAAGGGTCGCGGCATCAGGAAGGGCCGGGCGGCGAGGGTTCGGCTACCGGCACGGCGGAATGCCGAGAGGAAGGCAACGATTTTTCAGATTAGGGATCGGAGAGAGCGAAGAAATTGGGGATCGGCTTCAGGAGCCTTTCTTTTTTATGATAAAAAAAAAAAGTCTCACTTTTTTATTTTTCAATTCCCAAAAGGAGGCCAAAGTATCGTGTTGAGGAGTGGTGTTTCATGCCAAGCATAGTATTGCAAATTTGTTTTTAGTAAGAATGTGATTAATATTTATTAAACACATAACTTTTGTTTTCTATATGATTACTAATTTCTAGAAGAGTACCCATTTAAATAGCAAATTTGATGGTGACTAAAGGAACTTGGAAAGAGTGGCAGGAGTTCTCATCTGCTTCTGGTTTGCTGTAATGTCCCTTGTTTTGGTTTGTTTTTAGTCTGTTTTAGTCTGCGTGTTTTTGATGTGGATGTTTGTTAGGGCTGCAGATTTTTCAGGTTGGCAGGTATTTGGTTTAGGATGTTTTCAGGTGTTTAGATTTTATCTCCTTTTTAGTTTATTAGCTTCTTGGTTGGGGTGCAGGTGTTTCAGTGATGTGTGTGTTTGATGTTGGAGGTTATTACCGACTAAAGGCTCCATGGTGCAGGCCTTGCTTTAGTTGTGTAGTTGGTTTGTGTCTAGACTAATGTCCAAGTGTGTCTCCCAGCGTGTTTGTTCCCTTGTGGGTTTGTATCAGGCTTGTAAACTCTTACTTTGTATTTAATGGAGACTAGTACAACACCCATGTACTACACGAGTATTGAATTAAAAAATATTTACACCAAAATATTTAAAGATAAACATAAAAAATTTATTTTAATTTTTTGAAAATTTTAAAATTGCATTGTTAGTTTTAAAATGACGCTAGAGTGATATACATGAACATAATAATTTTTTGGCACATTATTTTTTAGAAAAGTTTAAGGAAACAATTTTAGTACCATTTTGCAATAATCAAAACAAATTATATAAAAATAAGATATTATATATGCTAATTACCTAAATACAATTAATTGATACCACAATTTGCAATAATCAACATGCTATACTAAAGATCACACATAAACTCTTGCTAAAAAATATATTAAATTGGCATGTATGTTTATAGGCAAACACAATATTTTAAATAGCGTACCATATCGACTTGTATTGACGGTAATATCGGATACGATTGATAGACCGGTACAGTAACCCTCTAAATGTCATTTTGGCAAAAATATAGTTTTATACCGGTATCATACCAAAAAATACCGGCCAAAATATATGATATACTGGATTTAAAAAATATATATTTATCAATTTATTCACAAAATTCTACACTTCATTTTAACATGTTTACATCATTATTAGTTTTTAATCGATTTTAGTATTTAAATAAACCAATTATCGTAAAAAGTAGATATTGCTAATTGTTTGTAACCAATGCCATAACATAATTGCCATACTATCCTTAACAGGATTTGTGCAAATATGTAAGTTATTTTTTAATTTAGTTATCTATGTCGTGCTACATTTATATGTGTCCTAACTTTAGCTTTAAATTCAATAATTACTTGTAGACTACATACTTCAATTTACCTCTTTGTATGTATTTTATATTATTATTTTTATTTAAATGCATGAGAAGAAATTAATAAATAAATCTACTACAAAAGTAAATACAATTATATCAAAAATGAAAAAATATGATGAATGACATAAATCCTTAGTAAAGTGAAATAAGGAAAGAAAGAATTGTTTGATCTTCAATTTCAAAACAAATTTGGTAATGAAGAGAGATTGATGCGAGATAATAATGTATGGTGAAAAAATTAATTATGGCACTTTCCAAGCCAAATTTGTTTTCAAAATTTTTATCCAAACCTAACTACAAAACATGATATTGCGATATGTAAAATTCCAAAGCGTGTGAATCTGTCACTTAAGCTCAACACGTTCTGAATTAATATATAAGGGAGNTTTTAAAAAAAAAAATAGCATTGAAGATATATTCCTTCAATTTTAAGTCTAAAATTTTAAATTCATGGTATGGTACCAATTTCAAAATACTAAAAAATTACAAGCTTAAAAAGATATATCAAGCATATTGAGTTATATTTTTTTAATTAATTTAATTTCTTCTTTTTTATGGCAGATAAGCAAGTATTGACCAAATAAAACATCACAAACAGATGCGTTAAGAAATCAACCATCAAACTGAAATCTCAACTTTTCCGAGAATCACACTATCCTAAAGAATTTCATCAGTGTTTAGTCTTGAAAATACCCCAGGCCTAAAGGGCATACCATTGCATTGTGCCTAAAATAGTTACATGAAAACGATACAACAATGGCTGTGTGATAATATATGTACATAAAGTCACCAGAATTCACGTAAATGAAAGTTTGAGGTTTTCAAAGATATAACATGCTCAAACAACAATAATTCATTCATGGAAATAAAAACACGTGTCTAAATTGAAAATTTAATTCCTTCATCATCAGATGAAGTCCCTTTGAAGATTGCAAGCTTCCCTTTGTGTTCTAGGTGTTTCAAGGCTCGCATCAGTATAGTACGGTCCACCCCATGAAGCTCTGTATGAGAGAGAGAGAGAGAGAAAGAGAAAGAGAAAGAGAGAGAGAGAGAGAAGCAACAAATCATGTTCATTCATTTTTGGTTTATTACAAAAATGATCCAAGGTGAGCCTAATAGCATACAGGGAAAAGAAAGAAAGAAAGAGAGAGAAAAGGTAAAAAGTCTTTTTAATATAAATGCCAATACACAGATTTTTCGACCCACCCATAAACTACAAAATAAATGAAAATGAAAAATGCGTACACTCTGCATGAAACTCCAGAGACTGAAGTTTACCTGTCCCTCGAGACTCAACCCCTGAACGTATTTCCTCAACTGTCATAACGCTATCCTCAAGCCCATTATCTTGAACCTAATTGGACAAAGAAAAAAAAAACAAGAACATCATGCATGAATCAAACACTGTAAACGAATCAAACACTGCAGAAAAATTAGGAATACTAACAAAACGTATTATCAAGTCAGCCCAATCTTGTATCCGATGCCAAAGGATTAGACATTTTCTGTGACTCTTATCCAACCATTCTGCACGTCCTGTGATGTTGAACTAATTGAGCACCAAATTTGCTGTGTACAAAACATTTTATTTACAAACTACGGTACAGCAAATACAAAAATGGCTAAATAGAAACAAACCTTCAGCAACTAAGGCTGACATAAATGCCTCCCTAGCTTCATGACTTAGAGATCCTGCACAATCACAGACCCAACCATCATATCAGACTCACAAAGCATACCATAATATAAGATTCTGCAGGGGAAATTCGACGAAATGTTCAATGATGACTAAATCAACTTGATCCTTGATAAATAAATTGAATATTTGTCAAAGTATCAGGAATGACATTCATCCATAATAAGTAATTTTATTCATTCTTCCATTTACAATAGTAATATGGTTAATGATAGGAAATTGTAAGATAACTAAAATCAGGGTATTCGGCTTCTCTTTAACAAAGAAGCAACTCAACTATGGAATATTATCCGCACAAAATCAGTTATGGTACTTTGAGACGATGAAAAAGTACTTTACAGCTTTCTTACATAAGGCTAATAAGACCCATTAAATAACTCTAGCCAAACTCCCCAGAATAAACACAAGAAAGTAAATATTCAAACATTTAAACATAGTTAAATTATTCATCCAAATTTTCAGTATTATCTTTCAGTAAAGGCAACAAAAACCTGAAATATCTAAAAGATACGATCACGAGAAATAGTATTTACTTTCAATCACTGGATTGGTGAACAATGGGAAATCTTCATCGAGTCCCACAACATAAAGTTTTTGAGTCCGAGAGTAATCAAGTATGAGCTCCTTCCAGAGCTGTATCTGCTTCTCTCTCGTGTCTCTAACTGGCTGCAAACTACAGCAGTATGAAAGCATTATATACCAACAAACAAAAGTTCCTCATCTGACAAGTTACTAGTTCTATGAGAGCTTAAGATAAGAAGTACAACAATGCTCAAGTTCTTGGTGAAAACTGAAAAGGTCAGGACCATTTTCCAGTCGGAAAAATTTTTTGCAAAGAAAGTTCACTTCAAACATCTCACCTAGAAACATGATAAAAATTTGGTATCTGCTTTCGAATTATAAACTCTATCCTTTTCTCAAATTGGGAACCAAAAATAATCTCAGATTGTGAAATTGCACGGATAATTATCATCTCTATCACTTGATCAAACTAATCTACTGCAGCTCAGCATTGAAAATTGTAATAAACTAGGCAAACTTGGCTTTAGATCCAACATATTTTCAAGCTGGCTTGGGGAATCTTGAAGTAGATATAAAACTCTTAAATAGGAGCAAGACTCTTTCTGTCATCCCCCAAACATAAACCTCGGGAAAAGAATCCTATTTTACCAAAACAAATAATTCATGGCATTATCCAATCAAGCTTCTGCATTTGAAGAGACGTTAGCAGTAAGCTGATCTTCATCGTGAAAAATAGAGAATTGACAATAAATTGAAGTAGGAAAAAAATGAAACAAATGCAAGTAAAAAGACGACGAGTGATTAATTGAATGAAAGAAAGATCCAGCACGGAATTCAATCACAAAATTTCACATAATCAGAAACCACACTAAAAATTAAGATAGTGGAGATTGGAGAAAAAATTTGAGTAAGAGGTGATACGTGAAATATGGTGGGTAATTGAAGAAATGGGGCAGCTTGAATTCCCCCAATGTCTGCATATCGACTCCTTTTGGCTTTGCCTTTTGAACTCAGACCAAGATTGAAAATTGAAAAAGCTCCAAAAAATCAATGGCGTTGACGGCTCAACTCACTCGACAGCTAAATTTGACGATGATGTTGATCGAATCTGGCCAGAACGGAAAAATGCCGACTCGGATGCGGTAAATGACGAGTGGATCCAATCTGGGTATGAGAGTTGAGCAAAGTAGTTTATTGGAAACTTGATTTTTTTTTTTTTATAAAAAAATAGCATTATAAATATGCTTAACCTATCCAAAAAAAGGTGAAAAGTGACTGAGTGGGCCATTACTGTGTAATGATAGGAATTGATAGTCAAATATTTTTGTAAAATAGTATCAGTAATTAATGTGATTGATAACTTGAACAAACAAAATGAATGAATGGTATTTATTTATTTTACATGAATGCCACATGCTAAAAATCTTTTTTCGTTTTACGAGATGATTTTGCACATTCTCTTGAATAATTAGTTAAAAAGTAATGAATCACGAACCAAAGCCAATATTGCAACTGGAATACTAATTGTATTTATGAGTAGATTATTATATGTAAGATAATGGACATCTAACATAAAAAAATAAAATCCATTACAGATAAAGCACATATTGTGCACTAGATTAATAAGTCGAATTATGTTAGTTTTCTTTACAAGCAAATAAGGACTTTTCCCCGTAACCCACTGGGGGAGTTAGATCAAATGTATCTAATGCCTTTTCATTGGTAGATCTCGACAGTAAATAAAACATTAGCTTCAATGAATCGTAAGAATATTCGACTTTGGATACCAAACAACCAAGTCATAGCACTATGTAACATCCAAAGGTAAATGTAACTTGTGATATAAATCGCAATAAAAAAGCCAAACTCCATCAGTGTTCTGTTACTCAAAAGTGGACAAGAATAAAAACTACCCCAATCAAAACACCATGAAAGCCAAGGCTTTTCAGAGGGAACGACGAGTACATGTGGCAATTGGAATTAATAACTTAAGCTAGTCCACATGATGCAAATGAATACCTACCTATGGTCAAAGGTTAAACTCAACGGCATCATAACACTCACGTCTCAGTGACCCCAGTTGAAAGCATTGTACTTATCAATAGCAGCGTAAAATACAAAGGGGTCATTCTATTTGGCTGGCACACTAACAAAATTATTCAAACCCAGTTTCAAATATTACTACTACTTTGTTTTCATATATCTATCTACAACAGTGCAGTTTGGTGCAAAACCGAACCGAACTAAACCGAAAACCGAAAATTGTAAACCAGACCACACCGCAAGAAAGACAAAAACCAAACCAAAACCGAACCAAAATTTCCGCCTTAGGTTCGGTTATTTTCGGTTAACTGTAGGAAAATAACAAAACACGCAGCTCACCTTCATAAATAAACATTCAGCTTTAGAATACAAAGGAGTCTTAGCTTTTCAAGATTTCAGAATATAAAATATTGTAGAATTTAAATCAGGCAAAATTAGTGAAGTCCAGATTCGAGAGTCCAAGCCACCCACAGATAATGAAGAACTGTATATATATTGGATTATAATGCTCACTCCTAAAATCAGAAAAAAATTGATAAGTGTCGGCGAGAGATAGGAGAGAGAAAGTAGTAGACTATATAGGCTTTTGTGTGAAATATTTGGTTTATGTTGAACTATTTGAGTTTCCTAGTATTGTTAGCTTTTTGAGAAATGTTAAACTCCGTTGGTATTATTGATAATGTACTCGTTTTAGTAAATTTCTTTTATTTTTATCTATGTAGTTTTATTGATGGTACATTTGGTTTTAATTAAACAGGTGTAAACAAAAAAAATAAAAAAAAAATGGACCATTTATCTACTTTTAACATCGGGTAATAAACTACGATATAAAAATAATTATATCGGTCAAAAATACAACACATAGAATCTTACACCTTTTTATATCGGTTTAAAAACCACACATAGAATCTGATTTTCTATATCAGGTTCGAAGTCCAACCCATATAAAAAGATATCTTTTATATGGGGTGATTCATTCACCCGATATAAAAAACATATTTTTTGTATCGGGTATTCTATAATACGGCTTTCCAGATGGGGTGATTCATTCACCCTATATAAAAAGTTAACTTTATAACCCGATATAAAAAGGTGACTCTTCTTATATGGGCTGAAACTATATCGAGTATGCATATTATACACTATTTTGGCGTTTCACGAATTGCCAATGACCATACTCCAAAGAAACAACGGTAATACGTTATAGATTTATGCATAGCATTTTACTTGGATAAAACTTAATTACTCATAGTTTGTAATAGAGAGATCATGATACGTAAAATAACACTACCTATAACTATTGGTCAATTAAAGAAACAAATTATGGGCATAGATAATTGATAAATTCAACATATAGAATTCTCCTATATTCCATTTAAATTACGATTCATAATTATGTTCTACTTGCTATTCATATATGATAAAGAAATTATATTGAAATGCAATGTAAAACATGATTATAAAATATAACACTGAAATTAGTTTTTGTTATTGTTAAGTAATACTAGTATTCGACCTGTGCATTTGCACAGATATAAATAAATTATTGTGAGTCTGTACATATAATGATTAATTATTTTTCTTTCACTTTTTTGCAGACCAAATTTACAATTAAAAGAGTTGGAATATTTTTTTTTTTAAATTGCGGTTATCTGATTAGATGTATTGTATATTTTGGTACGTCTTTTATTTGTGAATTATTTGTTATTTATTTAGGAATTTCAAATATATTTTTTATTTTCAAAAAAAAGATATTAAATGTAACAACAATAATAACATCTAATCACATTATACGGTCAACACATTATATGGTCAACTGTCATTAATCAAAAGTTTAAAATGATTTTTGTAATTTTGAAGTGATGAGTATTAATTATTTAATGATTAAATGAAAGATTAAATACATCAAAATGTAACGGTTTTTGGAGGGAAAATTGTTAAATTGCCACATAGGTAACATTAAATAGGTTTTATTAAATTCCATTAGCTAGTAATTATATATATATAGATGATGTACTTTTAAATTCAAATTGACAATATAATATTTATTTGAAATCATATAGCGAGATATATCTAACACTTGATAAAAAAAAAAAAAGTTGTATAAATTTAACACATAAATTATATATGATAAAGTGTGCTATTAGCCTATTAGCTCTATCGCAATATATACACTAATATCGCATATAAAGACACAACTTCATAGATTTATACATAGAATTTTACTTAAATAATACTTAGTTACTCATAGTTTGTAATATTTGTAAAGATGTAAATATATAGAATAAACTATACACGTATAAACTTATTATCTAGTTTATTATTATTTATTATATATATGTTATTTATAATAATTAGAGCTATTCTTTTTGTATAAAAATAATAAATTAATCATATTTATATATGTGATGCTCATACTTATAAAAATAGAAGAAGTAACAATAAATTATGTCCAAATTATATGAATATACTCCATCTTCATTCTTCAATATCTATAAAAATTTAAGAATATTTTAGTTACTAAATTATTATTTTTGGAACATGTATTTTTTGTATATTTATTTGTATCTATAGTTATTAGGTGTGCGAGTAATCGGGCGGGTAAAAAGACAGGTCGGGTAGAAAAACCCACCGGGTAAACGGCGGGTAATGGGTTTTTTTTGTTAAACCCGTACCCGACCCGACCCGATCTGCGGGTATAAATAAAAAACCCAAACATGACCCGATTTTTCGGGTTACCCACCCGGTGGGTTTTTCTGACAACCCTACAGTACTACTTTGATAACACAATCTAGTTTCTTGAAAGAACAAAATATAAATCAATGATTATTAGATATCAGCAACCCTCTTAGATATTACCAACAAAATTCTTAACTCAGTATTAAATTAAAAATGTACCCGTACCAGGCCCGTTACCCGATTATCCACCCGTTAGATAGGGTTTTTTTAACCGATTACCCGAATCTCAACCGATTACCCTAAACCCGAACCGACCCGATACATATGACACCACAACACTCAGCAACACAAAATCATAAACACAAATGTCAGATAATTAGGAACTAGAAAATAATATCATTTATTTTCATAGCCTCCAACCTTGATCCAAGAAAAATTGCACTAATTTTACCCTTCAATCAAATCTGTAAAAGTATTCGAATATTGCTCCTCAAGATAACATCATTTGAATTCTCTCTGGTATTTAATTTCATACAAATTCAGTTTCATATTCAACTTAACATAATAATTTTCATACAAATTTTGTTTCACATATGTCTTAACATTAATATTTTCCACACTGAAATTAAGAATCTCAAGGATGAGAAACGAATAATTTTTTCAACAAAAAAAAAAAGAAAAATAAAAACTTTACCTCCTTGCTGTTAACTGTCGATCGGAGGCGCGGAGCAGCGATTTGGGAACGACGGACGGGCGGAGCAGCGATTTGGGGACGGCGGACGGGCGGAGGCGATTTGGGGATGGTGATAACTTAGGGACGCGAGCGAGAGTCGAAACGAGAGGATACAAAAGATGGGCAAATTTTGAGGACGCGATTTGGTTGCCTCTTGTTCTGTAGATTTTGGGGACGGCGATTTGGATAGAGGAGACGGGCAGATTTAGGAATATCAATTATGTTGAGCTGCCTTAATAAAATGTTATATTATGATTATAATATATATAATATAATATAAAGATTAGATAATAAAATTGTATGCCTTAATAAAATACTAGTACGTACCCCGTGCGATGCACGGAAGGAAGATATTAAATAAGTTATTTTCACAGGCTCTATATCATTTATTGCCCACTTCTTTTAATCAGCGTTAAAATGTAGAAAACAATAGGATTATAATCTATTTTCCACCTCAATATATTTTCCACCTCTTTTAATCAACGTTGTTTTTTTAGGCAGAACATATTGAGCATGTTAGGGATAACTTGTAAAATAATTAATATATTATCTCACTACCACATTTATAATTTATAATAATATAGATTTGATATTTGTATATATATTTATTCATCGATATAAGAGAAAATAATTGTTTTAGGACATCTCCAATTGTAAAGGGATTGCTCTATTTCATTGCCACCTAGGTCCAAAAATCCAATGTGGCATTTAAAAAATGTAGAAGTCTTTCTAGATGTAAAAATATATATATAAAATTATTGCAGATATTAATAAAATTGTTTAAGGAAATAATATTTTTGATCATATCTAATTTGATCTTATTTGAAAAAATGTATATGGAAACATTATTGCATATATTTAAAATATTTCCAAAAAAGGGTATGCCTTAATATATATATATATATATATATTTATTAATATAAATTTTTTGCTACTATTTTTAATAAAGGGTTATTCTTATTATATATATATATTTATATATATATATATATAAATTTATACTAATATAAATTTTTTATTCTCTTTTAAAGTGGTGGCGAAATAAATCGGATATGGAAAGTGGCTCTTTCAATTTCATTCCGAAAATGAAGTTTTAATTCAAATCTTTCATATGAATCAAAATGATTCTTTCAACAGGTTAATAAATCTACGCGGCTTTATCTACCTAAAAAACAGGAAAAATATAAACAGATCGTTACAGAACAATTAATGCTCCGATTTATAATTGTAAAAAAAATACTAAATTTAGTAAATATTTAATGATTATGGAGGGAAAAAGTTTATAAAATTGATAAATATTAATTCTTATTATATATATATATAGATATAGATGGGGGCTTTTATCTAATTTTTATTAATTAAATAATATTGTCATGTAATATAATTAATTAATGTGTTATTAAAGTATGTGTGGAAAGGACAATGTGTGAAAAGGACAAAAAGTTGTTGTTTATGGTAATCATTTAATGCTGACCGGATTTTGTGGATTGGTTGACCTACTATTTTTAAAAAAGGTTAATTCTTATTATATATATATAGATTATATTATGATTAATAATAATAATATATATATAATGTAATATAAAGATTAGATATGAAAATTGTATTTAGTTTAATTTTTTGTCAAGTCAAATTAAGTAAAGATTAGATACCCCATTCTATATTTAATTTTATATGTATTGTAATTCTTTTATTTAATTTATTTTTAATTTTCTATGCGTTGTAATTCTTTAAATGTAATTTTTGGAAGATGAAATGGAAGAGAAGTTGAATATTTTAAATGCAACTCACATAAATTCTTATTTGTGAAATAAAATGTTAGTAACAAAATGTGTATTTATTACCAAACTATAAACTAATAGTATGTTTTACTTTTAAAAAAACTTTTTGTGCAAGCAAACAACAAAAGACACTTGTATTCAATTCACCCTATGCAAGTTTGAACTATATAAGTTACTAGTTGGGTCATGCCGTGCACGCACGGCGGACTCAAATTTAGTCTAAAAATACAGTGAAAATCAAATTTAGTCTAAAATCTACTAAAAAATGGTCGATTGAAATGATTAGTCGAATTTATATTTTTTAAAAACATTGTTATTAAATTTTATACAAAACCCATAACGCGAAAAAGAACCCGCTAAAGTTTATCAAAGGCTTGTTTATAGATATGAGTAGATTATCAAAATAATAAAAAGGGTAAATAACGAAGAGATTCGGAAAAGAGGAACCCTAATCTACCCCCAAAGCAACAACGGAAACGCAAAATAATATATCAGACTTTCTATTAGATCTGGAATAGATTATCAAACGAAAGTAGGAAGAGATTAAAGGACAAGATTAAAGAAGAGATTGAGAGAGAAGCAATCCACAGTCAATGGAACTGTGAAATCTCATAGAATGATTGTGGAACTGTGAAATCTCATAGAAGAGAACTGTCTCCATACTCAAGGAACTTACTATCTTCCCCAATGTTCGAACATTCAATAGAAATAAAACAGCAATTATGAAATTTGACAACAATTTTTTCCCTTAAAAAGTGAGCACCTGATAAAACAAGAGTGAAACCACCTTGTTCTTTGATAGAATGATGGATAAATTGATAATATACTTAGCCATGATTTTGGCAAGTCCATCGGCACTTCCAAAAGTCACGGCTCTTTCACAATCTTTTGAGCACAGAAAAGCTATGCTTCTAACAAGGTTTTCAGTAAATTTAGAAGTAAAAAATAAAAGCTAAAAGTTTATTTGGGAACATAACATTCAGTAAATTAGAATTTCTATATAGACACACCACAAGAAAAATGTGTATATGTGTGTATCATATATGAATCAACAACAAACTAAAATACACATAATTCATCACTACATGTTGACTACGGAGTCCAAAGTGCTAAAAACATTTCATATCAGCTAAATTTAGTCGAATACTTTATCAGTCATAATTTTTTCCGTTCACTGCCAACCCCCTTAAATTCAATCCTTGAGAAAGTGCGAACTTAAGTCACTTTGTACCAGATTTCTAGTGCTATTCTTCGTCGCCATTTTCCAAGCTCGATCGAGCTCAGTCGCATCCTTCGCACTTGCAACTACCCGCTCTCGCGCCACAACTCATAACCCCCAGTATCTGCAATTTGATTTTTTGGTTAAAATAAATAAAATAAAATAAAAATTGAAAATATATTACTCTATAAAATTGGTAGAGAAAAAAATCTTCAAATATTACATCACTATAGAGCCCGCTGACAATACCTCCACGGCTACCAGATCTCCCTTCCGACTGGGAATCGCTTGGCCATCCTTCCGCTTCAGATTAAGCAAGCAAAGTAGCTGGTGGCAGTGAGGTCGCCTGTTTCTAAGCAGAGCAGTCAGCCCAAGTTCACACAAATGCATAATTAGTTATTTGTTTGGAACATTTGTCGAAGCGTTTTTTTAACAATTTGGATCAATATTAAAATCAATGACTCAGAATATAAATAGTTTAGCGAATTTCGTTGTCCATGGATCTACAAAGATTCAACTCATAGAATACCTTTCGCCAAGTAATTTCCTGCCAAGCAGTCGCTTAAGCATTAAGTAAAAGAAAACAAAACTGCATCATTCTCTTCATGCCAAGCTAAAGAAGCCTAGTTAATGAAGAAAAACATTAATTTACTAAATTAGGCAATTAGCCACATCAAAGTGATCTGGAAGGTACCAAAAAAAGGGCAATAAGGTACAAAAAAAGGCAATTGGACATGTGTCGCATGCAGAGGGCCACTAAAAATGGACACGTGTTGCTTAAAGAGGCCATGTGAGTTACTTGTTTAACAACAATTAGGCTTAAAATTATTACACAAAGCTTCAGTCGGTGTAAGTTATATATCATTAGTGCAAGAATAAAGAAAGGGCACCTGGAAAGGGGAAAAAAAAAAAAAGAAAGTAGAAAGAAGAACTCGTCCAACAAAAAAATTGGGTTCTCAACATATCTACAACCCCCATTGGCCCTGAACATACCATGCATCAACCAAAGTGATCTGCCGTAACCCTGTTGAGACATTACGTTATTACCTTCATTAGATGAACTTCTAAGGATAATGCAACAATGGTTGCTACAGGAAGATATGCCGTAGCTACAAATCTTGATGATCCCATTGAGCCAATAATGTGACATGGTTCAAAATAATTTGTGTCACTTTATTCCCTTGTATCACTATAATCATGATGTTAATTATTACACTCAGTTGTAAATGGTTCCAAACATTACTGCTGTTGCTATTGATCTATTAAAAGACTGGTACTGTTACCATATGAATTTTGGGTTATATCTTCTTCTTGACCAATTTTCTGTGACAAAAGATAAACCAAAGGAACTTTGAACGGGAACAATGATATGATTCAGTATCCTTCTCAGTCCTCAGAGAAGCTATACTAACTTGCATGTTGAATGCAACCATTTGTGCTCCATGTGTCCATCCGATTAGTGGGTTGTAATTGGATGAGTCAAAATGTATACCTTTAGGGTATACTGTCAGCATGTTCCTCTGAGTAACCTGAACAATAGACATTGGATAAACTTTAAAGGAAAATCATTCCACTGCCTAACACCATCGATTTTCTATGTGTTTCTCATTAATCTAACAAAAAGGGAGAGAAAGAAAAGGTAAGCTGCGTTCTTATGCTCGTAGCAGCAATGGATCCAGTGTTTTGGTTTATTCCAACTTTAGCAAAATTAGGCTGCTAGAAACCCACTAAACATATTCTTAATGAAACTAAAATGAAAAATTTTGAAAAACAAAGAAAAAGATGGTCTAAGATGCACCAGCAACGACCACTTCGAATGGCTTTTCAGGATGAGGAGAAAAAAAAAAATTGATGACAAGTAAGCAACTTCCAAAAAGTTGACTATATTGCCTAGTTATGGTATTTGGTAGTCGATGCAAACAAAACAACCTAGTCAATAAACATATACCTAGCATCAAATCATTTTGTTCTTCTTCATCCACTAATGATTTTCCTAACCAATTTTAACAGGCATTGGAGAGACATTGGAGAGCAGGCATACTTTCTAAACAAACAACTTCCGTTTAGATCTCGACCAAAAGGCACGTGCATAAAAAATCCTCAATTTGTGACCCAAAGCGTTACTACAAGCGAATGAGAGTCCATGATTCCAGTTTCATTACACCAACGTTCATGGTACAAATTTCAACATAGAGACTGAAGCATATCTTTATGGAAAAGAAAAACAAGCAACGAAGCTAGGGAACTGACAGTAATCAGAAGTCCATAGATAACCTAAAAACTAAAGCATTCGTAGCTGAAGTACTGAATTAATAAACAGTAAATCAGACACAAATCCACGTGTGACCTAATAAACAAATCGGATGAACAAATTATTACATCAAACTATCGTACCTTACTAAACCCGAAAACCCAAGTCAAATCCATCATCGACAGGTACCATCACTCGCAAAAGAATTGCATCACAGATACATTTCAGCCATATGTAATATACTGGTCTGCCTTATAATCTCCTGAGAAAGACGATTTATTGAGAAATATCCCAAATTAAGTGTATCTTGAAAAATGTCTAAGAATATAATTTGAACAATATTATTTTCTTCTCTAAAAATTTTCACCGAGTTCAGAAGTTAATGTCTCAGTTCATATGTTTTCGCCAATTATTGTGTTTATTCCACTTAAGAACCTTTCCTATTTTCTTTTCAAGATTTCTCTAGTGTCATTTTGATGCCTGAGAATTTATGCTTGTGCAAAATAGCATCTATGTTTGCAAACTTGTATAATATGCTTTGTTTTCACATGTCCATCCAATGATACAATTTATCTTATAATTAAACGCACATTATAAATAATTTGGTATCTTCTATGATTTGGTTCAGTTTTCATCTCCTCTGCCGCGAGCTTCTTCCGGGCTCATCCTTTCGTGTCGTCTTCCTCTTAGCGCCTCTCCTCATCGTTTGCGTTGTCTTTGAATGTATTTCAAAAGAGAGAATATGCGTGCGTGTAGAAAAATGAAGAAAAAGGAAAATGTAACAGACTTTAAAGTATAAAAATATAAAGAAAATAATTTAGAAAAGTGGCACTTGAAGGCTCTGTGAATTATGAAGACCTCACCCCTTGAGACCAAGAAACAATATGCTTTTCCTTTTGTTTCGGCACTTCAGAAAAAATGAAGACCTCACCTCTTGAGACCAAGAAACTATATGCTTCTCCTTCTGCTTNGACCCGTGAATAACGATGGAGTCTTTTAATCTCTTTTCGACAGCATCATCACACCAATTAAAAAGATGGAACTATTGGTCTTTTCCTAGGATTCTACCTTTTTTTTTGCTGGTGTTCTGCTGAATTGGTTGTGCTGCAATGTTCTGAACAGCAGCTCTATGACCCCTCAGCTGAATGGAAGAAATAGCAGGCCCTCTTCGTCTCAAGTATTAAATGAACTCTAATCATCACTTGAAGGGCCTCAAAATCCGTCCGTTCAGTAAAATATTTGAAGACTAAAACCACCGAAAATATGTATGAAAACAATAGAGCATTAACATTAAGTAACAAACTATTCAATAAATACATAAAACCTAACAACAAGATTCACCTTGGTAGACTTCTATTTATAATATTTCTTCAAAATCTATTACCTTATTATAACTACTTTTACAAACATTTTCCAACATTATACCAGTTATCACAGTACAAGAAGTAATTAATAGAATAATAAAGATAACTGACATTTTACTTTCCAGCCACGATAAGAAAGTCACCAGAGGCAGCAAAACCAGTGTCCAGAAACACCAACCATTCCATAGATGTGGAAAAGACAAAACACAAGAATCCCTAAACCCTAAACACAAGAATCCACCCAACTTTAAACAATATTTCATCTTCTGACTGATTTCAACCAACAAAAAGTCCTTATACATCAAAAGGTGCAGCTGAAGTATCACGTTTTAGCTACTTTAATCACATACCTCCTCTCGGCAAAAATGATGAGTCGAGCAGGATATTTGAGAGGTTCTTTCGTTTCTATGGTGACGTTGACGTTCTAGAACCTGGGGTGCCTAGCGCATGTGGTTCGAGATTTAGCTAAAGTCAAACCTGAGAGTCAAGTCGAAGCCCATTTTCTAATCAGCTTCTTCAGAATCCTCCTAAACAGTAATCTCTTGAACAATGTGAATAATCTCCAAGCTCCATTTTTTTTTATCTATTTTTCATTTCATGATGATCGAGAATGGAAAAAAAATTAGCAATAAGATCATAAACATTTCTCGTACAAATGCAAGCAATGCAGACAAACCACAATAGCTGAGAAATGATTTCAGTTATCATAATTTATTTCTCATTTGCATAAAACAAATTATTCAGAGAGAAATAGAACCAGAGAAACTTACACTATTTTTGAATGTGTGAACTGCAGAGTGCCGATGATATCTCTACGCCGTGCCTACAGAGGAAAATAATCAAAAAACAATAGAGCATAAGTCTTCATACGATTCTTAAGGCATCAAGATTTGGAAAATTGAAACTCACACTGAGTAGAAGATGAAATCTTTAGATATGTATGACTGAACATTTCGGCTGAAAATTCCAAGGGAATTTCCTTCTTACTTGAATATGGTCTCTAAATTCCTCGTCCTAGGCAGCCCCCTCAGGGTGGAGGTCCGGCCGCTGGGGGTGTTCATCATCGCCTGCTCATTGGTGTTGAATGATGAATCCCGCCCATTCGCACCCCTATTCGCCGGCCCGCTTCACCACCGCGAAGTTCTGCGGCACCGCCACCGCCTGATCCTCACGGACCTCGCCGTCGAACACCGCCTGACCTTAGTGGTTGACGATCCGTTCGATCCGCCTGCGTCGCCTCTGCCCCTTTCGTCTTTAAAGCTCGGAAGAACGGAGAAAAATTGTTCCGAATTTGGTCGGGCAGGAGGAGGATAGGGAGATGATAGGAGAGATAGATTTTTTTGTCAAAAGATATGAAAGAGATTTTGGAAGATTTTGTGAGATTTTTGGTACAGAACACACACTATCACGAAAACCAGGAAGCTGTCTTGAGAACCTCACACTTTCTAAAAATAAAAGACCCATCCAAAAAGTCTTGAAATTGCAATGGCAAAATTGTAAAAACAAGAGGACACTTGTCAATTTTTGAAGAGCATAAAAATGGACACTTGTCAAGAATATAGAAGGTATCACTCCTTCATATATAGATAAGAGAGATTTGAGTGGTACTCGTGAGAGTTGTTAAAGATGTATTTATTGAGTTTGATTTATTGGGCAAACAAATGATTAGATGAAACAATCTTTAATATTGAACGACCATTTTTATGTAATAGAGTAAGTGAACATAAGTAATTTAAATGTTATTGTTTAATATGTAAAACATATCAAGTTAAAAGCCGCAATCTATATACCAAACCAATCGCACGATTGTTTTTATGTTTTTAGATGATTTAAGAATATTTTTTTAACATATATTTGACATTCTTAACTATACTTAAAAATAAAGAAGTACACAAGTTTTTAAGTTAGATAGATCATGATACGTAAAATAATACTACCTATAAGTATTGGCAAATTAAAGAAACAAATTATGGGCATAGAGAATTGGTAAATTCAACATATAATATCCTCCTACATTTCAATTAAATTATAGTTCATATCTACATTCTACTTTCTATTTATCCAGGATGAAGAAATTATATTGAAATATAGAATAAATTATAAAACATTATTATAAAATATAAGACTCAAATTAATTTTTGTTTTTGTTAGACAATCTGTAATAAGATGTACTTTTAAATTCAAAGTGACAATAATATTTATTTGAAATGATATAGCGAGAGATATCTAACACTTGGTAAAAAAAATAGTTGTCTAATTTTAACACATAACTTATATATGATAAAGTATGTCATTAGCTCTCTCGCAAATTATACACTATTTTGGCGTTCACGAATTGTCAATCATACTCCAAAGAAACAACGTTATAGATTTATACATAGCATTTTACTTGGATAATATTTAATTACTCACAGTTTGTAATATTTGTAAAGATGTAAATAGACAAAATAAACTATACAAGTATAAACTTATTTATCTAGTTTATTATTATTTATTATATATATGCTATTTCTAGTGATTTTTTTTACGGAACGAATAGAAAGCGCACAAATGTGCAAAATTACAACCTGTAGCTGAATAATTCAACCAACATCTGAAAAGAGTGGGAGAACAGGTCAGAAGACCGCCTAGAACCGCAACTAGCCAAACTAGAAATAAAAAACGAGACTCAAACACAACCGACACAACAAACACTAAACCAAACCAACACAAAGCTCCCCATAGTAGAATAAAAAGGGTCCCCAAGGGATAATCTATTTCTAGTGATTAGAGCTATTCGTTTGTATAAAAACTATAAATTGATCATATTTATATATGTGATGCTCATACTTTTAAAGATGTATGATTTATATATTGTATAAACTAGATAAAATAGAAGAAGTAACAAAAAGTTAGGTCCTAAATTATATTAACTAGTACGTAGCCCGTGCGATGCACGGGGCAGAAGTATTAAATGAGTCATTTCCACAGAGCTTGTCCGTTAAGTAGCTCGTGCTATTCACGGGAGATTAAATAAGTGGACTATAGGGCTTGTCCGTTCAGGCCTAAAAAATAATAGAGTTTGATAATCTATCTTTTTACATCTTTTCATCAACGTCATTTTTTTTGTCGGAACATTAAACTTGAGTCTGATAGCGCTAGCCCGTAAATTAATTAATATATTATCTCGCTCGCATGTTTATAATAATATAAATTTGATTTCATTATATATGTTTATTCCTTGATATAAGAAAAATAACAATTTTATGTAATCTTGTTTTTCGTATAATACTCATATTATTTTATTATAAAATTTAGTATAATATAATGTCATTATTATTATTAATACAAGTCATAGATGTAGTCTTTTTCGTCTTTTTGTTTTATGTAATTAAAATATTTAATGTATGTTCATATTATTTATTAATGTAATTAATTTAAATTATGTAAATAAATTTAAATTAAAACATTTGTTACAAACATTTTACAAAATATACACAAATGTTTTTTTAGAATTTAATTTTTTTATAATAAATAAACTTCTTTGAAATTCTATGCAATTATTAAACATCCTTGATATAAATTCGAAATCATAATTGAATTCTATGCAATTATTAATTCCGTCCGATGTTATGGGAAACAAATCATTTGGAAAATTTAACAAAAGGATAAGGAATTTTAAAATTTAAATTTTAAATGAGACATGTTTTTACTTGAATTCTATGCAATTATTATTTTGTTCGATTTTATGGCAAACAATTAATTCAGGATTTTAATGTAACAAAATGATAAGAAATTTTAATATTTAAATTTAAAATTGAAATGATACATGTTTTTACTTGAAGTCTATCTGTCCGATTTTATTGCAAAACATCAATTAAGGATGAATTAATGCAAATCGGTTTTTTAGCAATAAAATAATAATACATTTGAAAAAATTGATGGAAATAGAATGTATTAATTGTCCTTTGACTTTTCTTGCTACTAATTTTAGTAAATAGGATGACTCTTTATATATATATAGATGTACTCCATCTTCATTTTTCAATACCTATAAAAATTAAAAAAAAAAATTATTTACTATATAATTATTTTTGGAATATGTATTTTTGTATATTTATTTACATCTATAGTTATTAGTTGTGATCTGGGAGAAAAGGAAAGGTCTACCAGTAAAAAGACAGGTCGGGTAAAAAATCCACCAAGTAAACGGGTCTTGGTTTTTTTATTAAACCTATACCCGACCCGGCCCGACCCGTGGGTTTAGGGAAAAACCCAAGTACGACCCGCAACCTGATATTTCCGGGTCCATCGACCCGATTTTTTTGGGTTACCACCCGGTGGGTTTTCCTGACAACCCTATTTATTAGTTACTACTTTAACAAGTCTATCTTATTAATCTTTTACCAACGAGTCAATTTGAGTGTTTTAAATATTAAATAATATTACAATATTAGTATTCGGACATGTGCACATGCACAAATGTAAATAAAAATTTATATGTTACATGTGTGTGTATGAAATATCTTAAATCATTAGATAATGAATACATTACTAAGAATGAAAGATATAAATATAAACTATTTAACTTTCATATACTCTTTATATTGATGCAATTTTGCAGATTAAAACCAATTAATTTGATAAAAACAATTGCGTACAAAATTTTAAAGGGTTTTCTTATGCCATAAAAATAATTAATTAATTTTAATAATAAAAGCTTGCTTATTGTGTTGAAAAAAAAAATAATTTTAAATAAATAGTTTGTAAAAAAGTTTTAAAATAGAATAGCATTTAATGTGACTTTATTATTATTTAATAGTAGCAATTATAT